TCTTTCTGACACCTGGAAGCTTCGGCCGCTCTCTTCCACTGTTCCCAGCCATTGGTCCTGAGAAGCTCATTTCTCCAGAAGCTGGTGAAGGCACGTCACCATCTGGATTAGTAGCCTTGGGTAAAACTCCCCTCCTACTCCCTGCCTTGACAACCCCCTTTCAATCCCATCACCCTGGGCACAGTTGCCCTTTCTCAGAGCATGCAATTCCATAGGTCAGGAGTGCGGAATTCCTGGCCCAAATCCCCAAACGCCATGTGCCCTTCCTTGGGCTGCATGCTTCCCCCAGACCACCAGCAAGTTTGCCTGCTTTTGTGTAGCCTTTTCTCCTTCCTAAAAGATCGAAATGCCTCTCCAAGAGTGGAGTTACTATCAGTCTGAAATTTAAGCTAGCATTTTGACCATCTGAACGTCTCTAGTATTTATGGGAGATGAAGGAACTTCCTCTCCGGTCACCTTCTCCTTGCAAAAATAAGAGTTCTGGGGAAGCGCCGACCTGCGAAACCTGCCTCAGCCGCTCACAGCAACAAGTTGCTGGCCTGCAGTGCCGTAACAAAAGCCTGGCGGTAAGGAACGCGTGTGGAATCACACAGAGCAGAGATGGCAACCGCTGCACCTCGGCCACGGAGCAGAGACGGAAATGCGGAGGAAGCTCCTCCAGACTTGTTCCGGGCCGATTTACACAGCGTCTCTTGCACAACACACACAGACAATGGAACACACAACTGTCTTCCAGCGCATGTGGTTGCAGCTGGGGGCAACTTGTGGGCTGCAGCCAAAACCTGCCCCAGTGCAGACGCTGTTGCCAACTATTTCCACAATCCGTGCCACAAACAGGGCTTGTGGGGCTGGTATCTTTAGCACGCCACTTTTATCTTTGGCCTTCCCCTTTGCCAAACTTCTCCAAAACTGAATTTGGCCCTTGCTCTGAACACGTCTGACTCCCCTGGCTGGCCTCCCAAAGTCAGGCTGCACCTCCACGCCCACCTTTCCTTCGGTCCCGACTCGACCCTCGTCACACCTTTCCATCAACTTTTTAAAAAAGAGGAAGCTGGTTCACATGTTCAGCTTCTTCCCACGAGTGTGCCCAGAACTGTTGCTCTGTAGGGGAAGATATGATGTGAAGCAGCACTCTTTTGTCCCCTCTGGAGTCCGAAAGCTCTCTGCTCCCGTCTACGAGGCCTCTCAGAACCTGCCTCTGGTGCTTAGAAGCTAATGTAATCGTTGCACAGATCACCCGCGTTGCTCAAAGTCCTTCCCAGAGCTGCCAGGTTTGTGGCGAGTGAGAGAGTATTCCTGAGAGTGAGAGGGCGTTGGCGCTGAGCAGCGACGGGAAAGGAAGAGAGACGCGGGAGAGGTCTCTTAGCGTCACATCTTGATGTGAAGTGACTTCATTTGTACTCATGTGTGGACTGGAATGTAATTACCCTTCAGTTTTTGCACATCTCTGCATTTTCCGCTGCAGCTCTCCGATCAAGAAATGCACACCAAAATGTGCATGTTGGGGGGAAAGCATAAAAAAGGAAGATGGCTTTCAGAAATCCATATATTTGGGGACCGTGTTCAGTGGAGTACAAAAAGCCCACTCATTTCCGCCTGCATGAACATGCTTTCGTGCCAACTTTTTAAAAATACTCACAACCTGATACAGAAACAGGAAGGGGTGAACTTGTGCCAGAAAGAATGTGAATGTTATAGAACAGCCAACCCGGCACCCTCTGGATGGGGTGGATTATGACTCCCAGCATCCCCAGCCAGTCATAATCTACCACATCTGGACAGCACTACTTTTGTGGAAGTTATTACCGAAAGTGGAAGAAACAGCAGCTTCCTCCCACCACCAGGTCACATCCTGGGCCAAATGCCCTAATGATCATATCTAAGGTGGCTTCTCTGGTCATCCAAACCAGGATGCTGTGGCTCCTTCGGGGTGGGAAACCACCCACAGATCACAGCCCAGAGGTTCTCCGAAAGCTGCTGCCCCTATTCAATGGGCCACACTGTGCAGTTTCGACCCGTTCTTTCAGGCACAAGGGTCCATCTGCATGGGTGGGTTTGGGAACAGTGTTTCAGGGAGACAAGAATGCAACACTTAGGGTGCCCAGGGCCTTGGCCTTGGCCCAGGTGCCACCCATGGGTCTTTGGCGACAGAACTTTGGACCCAGATTTGAGAAGTAGCAGAAGAGTTGATGTGCCAGACAAGACACTTGTATCATAGAAAAGTGGGGCTGGAGGGGCACAGAGAGCCATCAGGTCCAACCCCCGCTCAGGGCAGGACTCCCGGTTCAACCATCCCTCTCGGACGCTGCCCAGTTGCACCTTGAATGCCTCAGTGTGGGAGAGCCCGCCACCTCCCCAGGCCATGGGTTCCATCGCCCTGTATCTCTAACAGCCAGGAAGTCCTTCCTGAGGTCCAGCTGGAACCTGGCTTCCTGCAACTTGAGCCTGTGATTCCACGTCCTTCACTCTGGGATGATGGAGAAGAGACCCTGGCCTTCCTCTCTGTGGCAGCCTTTCCAGGACTTGCAGGATGCGATCACATCTCCCCTCAGTCTTCTCTTCTCAAGACTAAACACGCCCAGTTCTCTCAATGTCTCCTCACAGGGCTTTGTTTGCAGTCCCCAGATCTTCCTTCCTTCCTTCCTTCCTTCCTTCCTTCCGTCCTTCCGTCCTTCCTTCCTTCCTTCCTCTGAAACCTTTCCAGCTTGCCCACATCTTTCCTAAACTGTGGTGTCCAGAGCTGGACACAGGACTCCTGATGACCCACGCTGAGCAAAGGGGACGCAGGACGTCACGGGATTCGGAAGTGAGACTTGCATTAATGCGGCCCAATCTAGCAATTTGCCCTAATCTAGCAATTTGGGCTCAAATCCAGCTTGGGATGAAACATCATTCTGGCCAGCCACAGGCTTTCAGAATATCCTTCCTCACATGGGTTGTTGTGAAGATAAAAGGGGAAGCAGAAGGATTGTGTAAACAGCCTTAAGTTCCTTGGAAGAGGAAGGGCAGAATATGAAGGCAAAAATTCATTTAAAGATATGCAGCTGCACAGAATCAGGCTGCCAAATATTTCAGGCAAGGGTGCAAACCCTCATGTCCGGGGACCAAATCCTTCCTCTCGGGCTCCCCGGGGGCCACGCCCCTCTCTCCCTGACCCCACCCCTCTCCTCCATCGCTAATCCTTCCCCCAACCCCATCCCAAAAGTTTGAAAGGCTTGTCTTGATCCTTGATTGCTGGCAACATGAACTTTGCCCGAGAACTACCCAGGACTACTTCAAATTTGAATCTGGCCGTCCATGGAATCGGACATTTCACACAGGCAGAAATCTGAGCTTCATGGACCCCTGGAAGCTTAGGATGAAGGAGAAAAATACCTCTTGGGCCACTGTGGAAGAAATTCCGCCGTGGGCACTGTCCACGTGAGTCTTCCCTGCATCTTGAGACTCAATGGGGAACTGAAGCAGGTGGTGCGAGAGAAAGCGACCGGGCCAGTGTGGCTCATTTATCCCTCAGACTCTGGGCAGGTTAACCATGGCCATCAATCCCAAGCCTAGTCCGCGGGGAGAAGGCTGTCGATTTGACAGATGGGAGACCTGAAGGACCAGTAATCAGAAGCTGACAATCCCTTTTGAGAGGACGGCCTGGAGGGGCAAAGAGAGCAGGGCCCCAGGGCTGTCTGGCTGCAAGCCCCGCTCTTCAGGAATCCTCTCCCTGGCTCTCTGCAGCCCGCCCAGACTAATTCTTGGGCCAACATCCCTCACATTCCGCTTAGGCACTTACCACCTTGTGTAGAGATCAGCTGAGAGCAACCTTCCCCAAGCAGCTGCCCTCCAAAGGTGCGGGACTACAACTGCTATCATCCCCCAGCAGCATGGCTGGGGCAGAGGGCAGTTGTGTTCCAGCACACCTGGATGGCCAAGTCCAACTGAGTCACATTTCCAATGTGCATTTGTTCCAATTGCAGGCGAGACTCCCCGACTCCGCGTGCAATTGCCTGGCCAGTGACAGCCTGCTTGGAAGGAAAAGGGGGCGTTTCCTTTGGCTGCCGGTGCCCCACAGGCAACACACCCTGCAAGCCGTGCCCCAGAGACAGGCAACCCCCCTCGAAAGAGAGCAGGGCAGGTTAGCGTCCCGCTGCTGCTGTCCGCCTTGCCCCTCCTGGAGGGCCCGACCAGGAATGACTGCACCGGGGTGGTCCAGACAGAGAGAAAAACATCCTAGCTGAGGGGTCCAGACAGAACAAACAGCCCAGGCGGACCCTGCTCCTTCCCCCTTTGTATCCCGCCTGAGCCCACCTTCTCCTCAAGGCACGGGGCAAAAGGAGCGTGCTCGTTCCGAGCGTGTGTGACACAGACCGGGGAAACCGCGTATGCAGAAGGGCCACAAAGCACCACCAGCGTGACAGAATCGCCAAGCCTGCCACAAACCCTGCCAAGATCAAAGTCTTGCTGAGCTCGCGTGGGTGGTTCAGGCCGCGGCTTGGAGCAGCCCCTGGGGGGAAGGGAGTGCCACCGAGACCGCCCAAGGAGGGGACCGCCAGCTCTCCCCCCAGCAGAGAGGGCCCACTCAGGCAAACGGAGCGACGATATACAGAAAGCGATCTGTGCACAGAGCTTGCGAACCGCCAACCAGCTTGCCTTCTGGAAGGAAATCCTCAGCGCTGCAATGCAAAGCCCTGCTGGCTCCCCTCTAACTCTCTGGTCATTAACTCCAGGGGTGCCACGAACTCGGCAACAATGCCCGAAAATGGCCAAGCACCGGTGCTTCTGCCCGCCAGGCACCACGACAGCCTGGCGGCTGAAGCCATTCCAGGGGAAGAGGCAGGGAGAGACCGGGAGAGACGGGAAGAGGCGAGAACGAGATGCTCCGAGGAAACTGCCTCCACCGCCCTCACAAAAGCAGCCGGGTTTTCCGCAGCTCCCACCTGCCCGTAAAGTCTCCGAGCGCCGCGCGTCTGCCAAGGAGCCGTTCGGAGAGGAGACGCCCGCTCGGCACTTACCCCCAGTTTCCTGCTCTTCATTTTCACGTAGCCCTGTTTGACGATGTCGTTGAAATTCGTAGCCATGGCGCGGCCGTTGTGCCAGGCGGGATCTGCCCCCGCCGAGCCGAAAGGCTCTCGCTGGTCTTCCGCTTGCGTCCTGGAGGGCCGGCGCTGCAGCAGCCAAGGCGAGCTGAGCTCTCCTCTACCCTCTGCTCCACCGCTGTTCACCTGTTCTCAGACTTTTGGCGGCTCCCTAGCCCCCTCCCCGCCCTGTTTCCTTCACATTGCTCTTGCTGGGAGCTCGCTGGCTGCTTGCTCTTGCTCTCTGGAAAATAAAAATGACAGAGAGATTAGAGATTTTGACATCTTCCTCTTGCTTCCTCGCCTCGCCTCTCCTCCCTCCCCTCCTGTCTTTCCCCCTCCCGGCTCAACCATTCTAGAGGCTCCAAGGTGGCTCATACCAGAGAGGGGGAGGCAAAATGGAACAGTCCAGCTTTTAACCCACCCGCCGCTTTAATTCACAAATTCACCAGGAGATGTTCCACCAGGCCTGTGGAGCGGAGAGGCTGCCCTTAGAAAGCAAGACAGAAAGCCAGCCAGCCGAATTCCAAACAGTAGCAGCCATGAGAACCCTTCCGCTTGCTTTTCTGCTTCTGATTGTGCAGAGCTGCCTGTCTCCCAGCGCATCTGACCTCCTTTCCAAGCCTTGAAATGCAAGAATGGGCGTTCAGAACGAAAACACTTGCAGAGATGTTGGACTGCAGTTCCCATCATTCCCGGCCAATGGTACTGCTGGGTAGAAGTCAGGGAGCTCAGACCGACACCTTTGCAGGGGACCTGGTTGAAGAAAGCTGGTTTTAGACAAGCAAACATTTTAAGTGACTGTGACCATCCCACCTTCCTGCTAAAACAGGGCACCTAACAATAAAATCCAAACGGAAAGGTCAGCAACGTCTTAGTTACGGCATAGCAAGCAATGGTTTTGTTTGATGGTTTTTAATTGCTGCAGACCGTCCAGAGAACCATTGACTATTGTGAGGGTTGAGAAAAGCTTGAATAAATAAATAATAAAAATAGCAAATATGTTGCAAATGCAAGCATAATAATGACTGTGAAAGAAATAGCACCAACCAACCAAAATCCTTTCCAGAAGCACCATGCCGGACACCTGCCGAAAGAATCCTTTCACAGGTTTTAATTCCTTTTCTAGAAAATGGAAGGTTTGTGGCTTTTTCCGGGTATGTCATCTCAGTGCTTCCCTGGACCCTGCTTTGAAAAGCACGCTTTCACCCACACCTGAAATTGCACAGAACAATTTATCCGCACCTCCTCTCTGGATGCTGCTGTCATGTTCCTGGGTCTGCCTGGCTGGGGATGATGTGAACTGAAGTCCAGCACAGCCTGTGTAATTGCTGCGGCCCAGTTTGGAAACCTACAAACCTCTTCCTCCGCCATATTATCCAACTTCTTTGGTACTGCTCAAGAGATGGCATGAGAACTCAAAGCAGGCATGGGGGGGGGGTGTGCTCAGGATGATGGTCCTACCCCCCAAGCTGGTGGGGGAAAATAGACTGTTCTGTTCTCCCAGCCAGGGAGTAAAGCTTTTCCTCTGTCTAAGGACTGTGCGCCCTCAGGGACTTTCTGTGACCTTCCCTGGCCAGAGGGAAATCTCACCTGTCCCACGATGTCCTATACATCGATGCTACCTCTTTGCAGTGGCAAATGGAAACTCAGCGAGGAAGTTTGGCAGAAAGAAACAAAAGACATTGCACCGCGGGTGAAGGGGGATAACCGCTGTCCGGCACGGATGGCGATATCTCAGGCACGGCTGGCGTCCTCCGCAGATCACGCCCGTTCTAACGCGCCTGCTGGGAGCCTCAGCAGGGCTGGCAGGAATTACTGAGCAGAACTACCCCTCTGCAACGCCAGTTCCCCCATCCATGCAGGTGCACAGTGCAAGCTCTGGGTTTCTGGGGTCGCTCAGGCAACCCGCCCCCCCCCCCCCGGGTGACCCTCCCTGCTCTTGGTAAGTCAGGAGTTTCCCTTGCTGCTCAAGCACTTTGTCGTCATTGCAACCTCCTGCTTCACCGAAAACCTGGAAAAACTCTTGCCTGGCTCCTGGAAACGGCTAGAATAGGCTGATTTGATCAAGCTATAGATCTGGCTGTGGGCTTCACCCCATGCAAGGCAGCAGAAAATCAGGTGGGCATTGCTCATTTCATCACCTCACCGAGGGACAGCCCTATTTGGAGGTTGTCCCCAGTCCCCGAACGGTCTGGCGAGAGAACAGCATGCCAGGAAACAGAGCTACTGCTGCAGGAGCTTTGGTGAGCACAGAATCCCTGTGCAACTGTGGCGGATCCAGCACTCGCGTAATGCATGAGGGAGAGCCAGCCTGGGAGGGTAGATCACAGGACCGAGCCCCAGGAAGCCGAGGAAGCAGCAGCACTGTTCAAACCTATGCCGGACGTCTCGGCCCAGCAGCATCTTGGCGTTCGGGACATCAGCCCTCAATTGCCCCAGTCAGCAAGGCTCGGAGCACTCAGGAATGCCCCAGGCACTGAGTCCCAGTCTGGTCTTCCTGCCCCTGCCCCCCCCCGGGGTGCCCAGCGGTTCCTCCCCATCTCAAGGCCCCTTTGGCCAGCAACTCAGCCTCATGGGGTCCATTCAGCCCTTCAGACCGAGGGCGGGAGACGAGTGTCAAGCCTCCACACCATCCCGGCTCTGGAGAAAGGAGGTGGGCCGGGGAAGGGAAGTGTGTCCCTCTGGCCTGTGGAGACCCCCAGAGACCCCGTGTGGGTCAGCACCCTTGCCGTAATTGGATGCATCCCCTTGTCCCAAGACCGTATGGCCTCGTTTTCATGTCTGCGTTTCCTGGCACTGGCCGGCGGCCGATGGGGCAGATCTAGCTCAGAAAATGCAAGCGTAAATCGGGTGCAAGGGGCCTCTTCTCCCAACCCTTCCCTCCAGTGGCTAGGATTGTCTTTGGGGCCACCACCTGGGTGGAATCTGCTTGTGGTACCCCCTCCCTGAGAGAGAGAGAGAGAGAGAGAGAGAGAGAGAGAGAGAGAGAGAGAGCGCGCGCGCACGCGCGCGCACGCGCGCGCACGCGCGCGCACGCTGCACAGCCTCCTCTCGGTGCACACTTTAATGCCAGATGCCCTCCTCTTTCGGCAGCCCTTTCCCGTTACCTCTTGCTCTGATTCTCAACTTTTCCTTTAGCTTTTTATTCTTGCTGAAATTTTACTAGATGTATTGTCATATTTATTGCTTTGTTTGATCTGTTCTTATTCGGGGCTTTTTTCTAATCATAAACTGCCCCAGAGGCATCTGACAGGTGGGTAATTCATCCATCCTACTAAAAATGGAAGTAAACTTGGGGTGGTCTGAATTGAGAACCTGGAGAGGCACTGATGCAGCCATTCCAAGCCAGAGCAGTACCGCTGGGAAATGTCTTTTGCAGGAATCCAACAGGCAGGAATCCAACAGGAAGAGCACCCAGTAGGAGGTAGCGAAGGCCTTGCGTGGCATGCAGGAAACTGGGGCACTTGTGGCCAGAAGGCTGCACACCAAAGCTCTGGGGGCCATGCCAGACGGAGAGCCAAATCGCCAGGACCCGAAATGAACCCCACCGGGCGACAGAGGCGACGAGGGTAGAAAGGGGAGAGGAATGGAGACACGGCTCTGCGATTCAACATGCCGGGTGCTTCGGTCCCGTCCTGCCGGCCAGCCTGCAGCACCAGGGCTGAGAGGCCGAGTCACAGATCCAGACCTCTTCCATTCAAAAATCCCCTTTGACATGATCTATTCCTGCGGCAAGCAACTTCCTCTCTCTCTTGGCCTCCCCTTGCAAGAAGGATGGAAATAATACTGGCCTACCTTGCAGGGTGGATGTAAGAATTTCAGAAACAAAGTATGCATGACACATTTAACTCCTCCGTCACACAGCTGTAATCACAGTCTCAGCAGGAGAACACTGAGAAAACTCTCCTAAAGCAAGGCGAGGAGGAGATTCAGGAGAGCAGCAAGTTCCAAACGGCCACAGGCGAAACACCTCTGGGGACAAGCCCTCCCAAATCCGTCCAACGAGAGTGGAGTACGGCACATCAAACGGCGTAGAACAGGAGCAGTCCCGCTGTCCACAGTCAGTCCAGATCCCATTTGTTTCCTCCGGTTCCTGAGGCCCAAGCACACTAAGTCCTTCCCAAGTCGCTCACTAGGACAAGTGGCATGGCTTGGCGGCCCCGTGGCTTCCCAAGCAAAACCCAGAACCCCCAGACAAGCTTTGGTTTCATCAGAGGAATCCGCGGCCTCTCCTTGGTGGTGGACGGCCTTGGCTTGATTTATTCCCGAGAAGACGTGCATGATTCCGCACTGCCCTTTTGCCCTCCTTGCTCTGCTCGGCCTCAGCCAGAGTCGGAGAGCAGCCGGGCACCTGCCTGCCACCCGCTGCTCTCCCCATGCAATTTCCTCCACTGCCTCTGTCAGCACACCCACACACCACAGCCCCAGCTGAAGCTGCACCCTGGCTGCAGAGTTAAATAATTCATGCACGGATAATCATGCAAAAACCAACAGATTCACTCCAGAGCCAAACAAGGCCCTCTCTGCTTGCAGACGCCGGGGCAAAATACACACGCAGCTTGTGCCCTGACCTGTGGAAACCCCAGCTCAGGGGGGTTCGGGTGTCCAAACTTCACCTCCGATAAAGGACAGGAGAGGTTGCAGGAAAGCATCCAAGGAAGAGATTTTGCAAGTGCTTGTACTTTCGGATGCTGTGTCCACAGAGAGGGCTAAATTCATTAGGAATGAATGAACCCAACAGGAGGTTTCCAGTCTGCCCCGAGGGATGGACAAGCCTTGCATTCTTCTAAGCCTTTGCTTACAACGGTTCTGCAAATGTTTGATTTCCAGCATCGGGCCTTGCAAATGCTCTCAGGTCCTAAGCCGCATTCAACCTCGCGGAAGGCCACACGCCTTTCCGGCCCAGTGTGCTTCTCCCCACTCACTGGCTGATGAAAAGGTGGGTTCTCGGCTTTAGAGCCAGGAGAGGTTTTGCTCCTGGCCAGGAGAACTTTAAGCTAAAAAAGGGCTGGCTTTGGGGGCCTGCCCCTTGACTCCCGACAGGAAAGGGGTCTCCAGAGCGTCTCTGAAATCCAGGTAGGCCCCTCCAGCTACAAAATACCACACCCCTGCTCAGGGGACTCCCACAGGGACTGTGCTCTTGTCAAAAACAGCAAGCGATACCACAGGCCTACCACAGGCCGGCGGGTTTCAACCTTTCCACAGCTGGGGACCGGTGAGAACAGGACAACCACCTGGGGACCACTGAGGCAGCAACCAAAAGCACCAGGCACGTAATACAGTATTCTGTGCAGCAGTTCCCAAACACAATGTCAAAAAAATCAAATTCTCCAAAACAACCAGAAACCAAGCAACAAAGAACGACAACAAAAGAACGAAATACGGAAATCGGCGCAGCTGTCCGTCCCCTCCCTTGTCACACACCAGCAAAACGCATCACAGGGAATGGCGTGAGCTCAAGCAAACCACCTCTATGCCGAAATCTAAGCAGGATTTTATTTATTTAAGACTTTTTCAGACTGTCCCTTATCGAAGCCTCAGGACGGT